TACTGAAGAAGACCCAGAGCCCCAGTTGGAATGATCACAGTGCTTTTGCTGGAACCCAAGTTGCTGGAGTCAGTACAGCACGGAGATATCAGCACAGTGTTTCAAAACTGAATGTCACATTTGAATCCTGAACTAATGGGAATGAAGACATGGTCTACAGTCACTCCCACCTCTGTCAAAGCCTTCCTACAGCCTCTAGAGCACAAGGCAATGATAGAATTCATTTTCTATTTTTGCTCCCCTTTTGTGCTGTTTATGAGACAGTACTTACTAGTGGCTTTTATTTTGTGTAAATTTTGAAATAAACCCCAATTATTATATGCTTTGAAATAGCACAAGAGAAAAATATTTAATATTAATTTGATTGTATTTAAGATGATTATATTCAGCAAGTATCCAAAGTTCATTCCTTTCTTTTTTAAAAACAGCAATTGTTATTTTCTTTGACCTCCCTGTTCTGCTCTAAACCCAGACATTTTAATAATGATCTTTCCTATTACACAAGTACTAGCTGCCTACAGATCTAATGGTATATCAAAAAGTAAAATCAGAATGAGGAAATTTCATAGCAAAACCTTTCCCATAGGTAGAAAACTTACTAAGAATTACAAGTAATGTCAATATGAATGTGTAATTATTTGTACTACAACAGTTCTCTGTAGAGATCTGAGTCTCAGCATCCTCATCCCCAAGATCTGGAGAGGGGAAAGATTCACACAAGGCAGAGCAGCCATATGAGCAAGGAGAGATGTGTAGAGGAATGGATTGGCTTGACATGCTGCTTGATTAGTTAATAATTATCCCTCAGTCTCTTTTACCTGAAGAAATTGTAGGTCTACAGTAGGTCACAAAGTTTTATTTGTTTAAATTTTTAATTAATTTATTTTTTTCATTTTCCATAGTTTTATTCATACTTTATAATTGTATAAAATGATGGAATTTGTTGACTCATATCCATACATGTACAAAATATAACAATACAATTTGGTCAATATCCCTACAACCCCAACTTTCCCCCCTTCTTCCCTTTCTCCCACCTGCTGGGTTCCTTTCTGCTACTGATTTCCTTTTAATTTTCATGAAATTCCAGACTTCAAACTTCTTTTTCCATTTTTCTCTCTAGCTTCCACATATGAGAAGAAACATGAATGACACTTGACCTTCTGTGATTTGTTTATTTCCTTTAACATAACAGTTCCGTTCATGTTTCTTCAAATGAAATAATTTCATTTTTATTTATGAAATAAAATTCCATTGAGTATATGTACCTTATTTTATTATCCATTCATTTGTTGTAGTACAGGTAGGGTGGTTGCATACTTCGGCTATACTCTAAACATACTATGCATGTATCAATGTGGTATGATGACTTATGATTCTTTAGGATAAATACTGAGGAGTGGTATAGCTGCGTCACATGGTGGTTCCATGCCTAGTCTTT